CAGAAGTCTGGCTCGCAGCATGGTTTATAAGCTTTGTAATTTGTAGCCACAGAGATAAAAGATCCACACATTGAAAACCATGAAATAGTGAAAGTAACGGAAGAGGAAATAAACATCTGGAAAACCATCTTGTGCTCATTGGTTGAAAGAATTAACACTGTTGGAATGAACGTGGCTCTGAAAGCCATCCCAAGCTCCTGTGAAGATTCCAGCAGCAAGAACAACCCTAAAACCCATAGGGGACGAAACTGGAGACATCATACTTCCTCATTTCAAATTACCTTACAACGCTAGAGTAATCAGAATAGTACGGTACAACTGGAATATGAACTCACGTAAGGACCAGCAGAGTAAAGCGGAGTGCCCTGAAGTACACACAAGCCTACAGTCAATTCATTTTTTAACCAAGTTACCAAAAAAATACACAATGGAGAAGTTGAATAAATGGGGTTGTGAAGGCTGAATAAAACTTGACCCTCATGTATCATATACCCAAATCAACTCAAAATGCATTAGAGACTGAGATATAAACCCTAAAACCAACCAAACAAACAAACAAAAAAAAACCCTTGAAGAAAATACAGGAATATCCCTTGAATTTTGCAATAACTTTTTTTTCCCCCAAATTTTACCACAAGCACAGGCAACAAAAATAAAAATGAACAGTTGGGGTTACATCAAGCTAAAAAGCTTCCTGTACAACAAGGAAATGTCAAAATGGAAGAGAACAGATTAGGAAAAAATATTGAAAACCATGCATCAACCACAAGATTAATATCCAAAATACATAAAGAACTCACACAACTTATATTCTATTTTAGACATAAAATTATAGTTGAAATGCCAATAGGGTAATAATGGAATATTATTCTAAAAGGAAATAAGGGTATGGGATCAATATGAGAAAAATAAAAAAGAAATAGCAGCATAGACAACTTAGGCTAACTCATTCATTACATTAAATGTAAGTGAATAATCCATTAAAACTCAAACTTAATCTTTTCTATACTGAAAATATTCTAAAAAGCTTTTGCTGGTAATTTATAACGTAGAAAAATGAGTAATTTCTTTTGGCAAAACAAAATTTATAAAACTAAAGAAGAAAGTAAAAGCCAAAATAGTTCTATATCTGCTCAAGAAATTGGATTTGCAAAGTTGTCAGTGTAATTTGGAATTCTTAACCATAAAGAAAAGTCCAGAATGTTTGTGTTGTGTGTTGGATCCTGGAGACAGCTCAGTCCTGGCCATTGCGCTCACTTGGGGAGTGAATCAACAGATGGGAGATCTTCCTCTTTGTCCCTCCTCTCTGTATACCTACGTTTTCAGTACAAATAAATAAAATCTTTAAAAACAAACAAATAAATGGACTAACCCAGGGTTAGTCAATGAGAAAGAAAAATAAATGCAGAAAGCAAGGCGGAGCGCTACAAGCTGTGACAGTGACTGTGGTTGAGGTGTACTGAGTCTTGGTTCATCCAGGGCACTGCCAAACACAGATGTCTTGTAGGAGGCCCCATGCAAGTGTTTGGTGTTCGGAGGAAGGGCTGCAGGGGAGATTCCCGTTCCGGAGTCATCAGCTAGTTCTCAGTGTGCAGGAGTAGGTTAGTGGTGTGTAGATGGCAGTAATTTCCCCCTGGCTGTTTTTAAAACCTGCTTCCAAATCCTCGACAGCTCCACACCGCAGGGAGCGCAGGCAACTCGGGACTTCTGTCCTCAGAGAAGAAGCTACACAGCCCCCTGCATTGCGGTGAGGGAAACCGGGCTATGGGTGCAAACGGGGAGACAGCCTGCAGCCACCCCACGGGACAGAGCGGCTCAGGAGACAGCAGACTTCCTCTCTCCGAGTTAGTGGCCAGGCTCGAGAGCCAGGAGAAGACTGGGACGTTGTCGATGTATACATGGAATGGTAGTCATGACAGTTCTAGAACAAGGCGATCGGAGCATCTGTGTTTGGGCATTGTCACAAGGAGAAAGTCAGCCTTCTACCCCCATCTAGCAGTGACGTTCATCCTAATGTACACTGTCCACCCTTGTCTCTTAGTCTCCGAAATCTTTTCTTGTTTGATTTAGTCTCCAAACTCCTGTTCCCTTTTCTGAAAGCCGAGGCTGGAGTTGGTGGAGGAGAAACATCCACGCCCGTGTTCTCCGTACATTTTCCTTCTTTCGGGCTCTCTGGCGGCAAGGGCCACACCTGGGTGATTGTGTGGAACTGTGGGCCTCCCTTGACACCTGTGACTTTCTTTTGGGAGTTCTGTGCTTGATTTGCGAGGAACGGCCAGTGCTTTTTGGGACACCCGATGAAGAAGAGACCCTGGTGAAGCTGCAGGAAGTGGGAGAAAAGGGAGCGGGAGATCGGCGCCCCATCCAGCAATGCGGTCAACGGTGCGGTCTCTCACACCGCGTCTTCACTCTTCTTTACAAATCTGCCCCGGGACCACTGTGCTAGCCAGCGGCTCCCCCTGCCTGTTTATCTTTTCTGTTTCTTCTACAAGTCTGTTTTGAAGAGCATTCCAGCGGACTGTGGCCCTCCAACTCTACTTCATACAGTCTTTCAGGTTCATCTCTTCGTCCGGAGTATTTGTGATCAACTTGGGGTGTACAAAGATTAGACTGCTTGATCTAATTCCTCTTTCCTTGCCAGGAAGTCCCTGCTAGCATCATGAATGTCTGCTCTTGGGCCAGGTCATTGCTCTTATCCAGACACCAATGAGCCGAGCCCAAAACTCGGCCATTTGGTCAGAAATATCTATGGATGAGGAACTTCTCTCTTTGAAGGAAGCATCCACATAAAGGCATTCCCATCATAAGCATCTGAAGTTTGACCTTTTCCTGTGCACATTGCATGGGCTGTATAGTCCAGATTTTCATGCAGTGCCTAGTGTAAAAAAAAACCTCAATCTTTTATAACTTAATTTTCATACTTAAGAATACATACTTCTGAGTGAAGCCAGTTCCACGGTATTTCCCTAGTCACTGTTTATCTCACCTAGCAATGGAACACCTCTAGGACCTTAAATGGGAATGCAGACACTCTCCGTCTCTGTTCTAGGCAAGCTTCACGAAGCAGGCTAAAGGGCAGCAGAAGGAAAAGAGAAGTTTATTTTGGTGCAAAAATTTTGAAACCCAGGCTTCATTTTTTTTTTTCCCGTAATGTGTATTTCCCATGGAATTCCTAAACTTCCTAAATCTACACAACTTTCAGGTTGAAGCCAGGCCACTTTCTGAGACAGCACATGTAGCCCTCTTCTCTCTGTCAAGAGTCATGGAAGGTTTCGTGTATTAAAATGGAAAGCTGGGGATGGGAAAGTAGAAGTACAGCAGAAAGAACAAAGCTGAAGGGAATCGCAGGAACTTCACACTTGGTCCTGGGCTTGAGCTTCCCAAGGAGACCCAAGGGCGTCTGGCAGTGAGGGAAGTCCTGATCTTAGAAGCTGGTGGTTTTCTCTGTCATTTTAAAACTATTTGTTTAATTTTCAAGATGATTATAGAGCCTGGGATATTCAGAAAAGTGAACTCTGTAAACCAGAAGAAGCTTATCATCCCCCTACTGTGAAATTTGGAAACGCAACCACATTTCAGGATGATTACGTTCCCCAGGAAATGAAACCAAGGCAAAGTTTTAAACCCTCCCCGGTGGTAAGAAGATCGGTGGCTCCTTTCAATGGCGACACCAGTCACCGCCTGGATTACGTACCCCGTCCGCTGGAATTCAAGTTGGCAAAGCCTAAAGAAGTTTACATGCCAAGCGACCAGCCCTTTGAGGACCTCACGACCCATCGGTGTGACTTCCAGGGCCTTGCTGGTGAGATGGCAAAAATCTGCAAGCCTGCAGACACCAGAGTGACCCAAAAGGCGCAATTCGAAAGCAGCACCGAGTCCCGGGACAGATTCCAGCCATGGGAAATCCCGCCCCCCAAAGTGAAGAAAGTGGCCGAGTACTCGCCGCCTACAGGAGTCATGCAGCTACACAGCACCAGCCACCTCGACTACGTGCCCTATCAGGCCAGCCGTGTGGTCCCCATCCGGCCGATTTCCCATACAAGAAATAGCCCTTCTCCTTTCCAAGGGAAAAGCACCACGCAGGAAGATTTTCCAGCCTGGGAAAGTTGCCGTCAAGGACTCATTAAACAGCAGCAGCAGATCCCCAACCCAACCGGAAAATTTGATGGTTTGAGCACTTTCCGATCTCACTACGTGCCGCATGAACTGATTCCGACAGAGAGCTGCAGACCCTTGAACGTGGCCCTGAAGAGTGCCGCTCCCTTTGAGAACGTCACCACGTACTCCGTAGAGTACTCGCCCAAGAAACAAGAAGTCTGCCCAGCTGCCTACCCCTCTCCTCCAGGCTATGTGTTTGAAAACACCAATTCCCAGGGTCACAAATTCTTCCGCAAGGTCATACCCGCCGTGAAAGCCTTCTAGTCATCACAGCACGCAAAAGGAAGTAAACTTACGAGATGTTGGCTTCCCAAGGGAAAACTCCATTTTCTTAGAGTGAAAAAAGAAATCATGATAGGAAAAAAATCATTTCTTCGATGTTTAAGCAAGAAAATTATGTTATAGATTTCATTCTGTGTTGATAATTTAAGGTTATGTGTTTCTGAAGACTGCATAATGAACTTACCATATGAACTGTTTTAATATGCAGCCAATTGTTCAGCCCCCGTCTGTTCTCTTTCTTCTGTTTACAAATATGGCAGTTATTTGGTTATTTGCATACCAGGTGTGTTCCATCAAGCAAGGGAAGACTGTCTAGGATGACCCAGGGATTCTACTTTTATAGCAATAGGATCATTTTCTTCATGCTGCAGAGAGATCAGTGTGGCCTGAGCCTGTCGAGCTCGGGCTGGTCTTCAAGACCGCCTCACTGCTCTCCCTCACATTCAAGCCACTAAGGAAAAACTGCAGATGGGAACCAGGGGACCTGGATCCAGCACCAACGGCACCTGTTTCTGTTTGTGTCACTTGAGGCAAACAACTCATGTCATCCATCAGCCTCTGTTCTGTGCCTCAGATCCTCTGTGCTACATCTCAGTCCAGCAGGTTAAAGAATAAATGGAAGGCATTGTTTCGCACCTGTTGTCTCCTTTTGAAGTTGATAGTCATGATCTGAGCTGCAGCCTGGATTGCCAAGCCCTCCTAGTTCGCTCTGAGTTTCTGATTTGTCGTGGATCCTTCTTTGGTTCAGATTGAACAATTTTTAATATTTTCCTCATGTTTGCTGCACCTGTAAGCGTTTTACATATATGTGCGCACATACCGAATGCTAACACAGCATCCGTTGGAATATAAGTGAATGCAGGCATTATGGAAAACAGTATGGATATTTCTCTAAAATCTAAAAATAGATCTCCACCATATTACCCATCTGTTCCCCTGCTGGGAACATACCCAGCAGAACTGAAGCCAGCAGATGAGAGGGGTGCCTGTGTTCCCACATTTGTCGCAGTCCTGTTCGCAGCGGCCGATGTACTGAGTCAGCTGCAGCAGGCGCCTCTGGGAGGAGTCCCGCCCCCACCGCTCGTCAGGCGCCCGGGAAGTTGCCAGTTGCCGCAGAGAATGGAGCACCTGGATCGGGAGTATATGCAGAACAGGAAACATGTTCTCCAGAGTCGTTTTAAGAAGGCTCTGAAGAAACCTTCGAGATAACCTTGGATAATTCCACACCTAATTACCATGCCCCGTTTCACTGTCCTGAAGTGGAATCGCGTCCATAAGAGGGGCTTATCACTGGCTCACCACCTGTAGTGTAGAAATATGTGCTGGGAAGAGAGAGACGAGCCACACCAATAAGGACAACAGAAATGACACTGCATTGTTTTTAGCAGAAAGTAAAACAAAACAAAACAAAAAAGCTGAAGTCTTATGATTTGTCTCCAAATACGTATCTTATGAGAATAATAAGTAATGTTTGGTTCAATATTTCTAATGGTTTAGAAGGAGCTTGTTCTCATTTACATTTGCATTTATTAATGGACAATATGGTCCGTACAAGTTTATAATTTCTATGCAACATTATCACATCAATAAAAGGAACAAATTCTCATGAAACCATTTCTCTGCCCTGTTTTGGCAAAGACAGCTTGTTAATAAAGTTCTATCTGAACTTACCTCTGCTTTGGTATTCTTACTTTTTACCTAGAAAACATTATTATAAGTTATCGTGGAAAAAAGCGAGCGACTGTCATAGCTACTCACTACCTTCCTGAAGGCTCACTTAGGGCACTTCCTGTTGCCTGGTGCATCAAGGCTTGCCCTTAAGGAAAAACCAAGAACATACTAAAAGGAAACAAAATGCATTTTGGACCGAACACCATAGGGATGTTGGAATTACCAGACACCCCTGGGATGTTGATGCTAAGCACCTCAGTGGATGAAATAGTTAGCAAGAAAAACCAGATGGACTATTGAAGCAGAGAAAGAAAGAAACAAAAAGAAACTCCAGAGATAAAAAGTATGAAACAAAAACAAAAAAATCCCACGCTGAAACAGATCTCCTCCAGGTGGCTAAGTGAGGAGGCCATTGTCTCCTCCTCCCCAGATAATAACCCAAATAACAGGAGTTTGTTACAAGGGGAGCGTTCACAAGGGAACTCAGCAAGGGAAGTGCAGGAACCCTGCAGGACACAGCAGAACCCTGGGGTGACAGCATAGTGGAGGGGGCACAGGAAACACACCAACAAACAGAACCCCAGCCCAAGGTCAGGGGGATCCCACATATACAGAGCCAGGGGCCATGGGAGAGCTCCAACAGACCCCATTCTCCATCTTAGCCTCTGGAGAGACCACACACTTGGAGCCCAGTGAAGGGAGCCACCTGGAGTTACCCAGGTGGCTTTACTTTACAGAAGGAACCCCACCACTGCTTCCCCTCAACCCTACAGTACAGGCTGCAGTGTTGTGATGCTGTCTTCAGAAAGGAGACACTATAGGAATCCATACTGCTCCAGGGGGACAATGGTCCCCTCACCCCCATTCATAGATCCACCAAGACATTCCATCACCCTAGCAAAAGACTGTAGTCTCATGAACGCTTTCCCATCACCTTAGCCCAGGCAGTGCCCTGCACATCTGGGACAGGTGGTTGGCACTCCCTTGGATGCAGGAGTGCTCCCCTTTGTGGACTTGGAACCACCTCTCCATCCTTCCTTACAACCACCCTCCCTGCCACGGTGGACCCAGGGGCAGCACCTGCCACGGTGGACCCAGTTCCCGCTCCATTGTGACTCCCTTCCTGAACCTGAGTTCTCCCTGTCTTTGGCAGGCATGAATACCTGTGCATGTCTGCACTGACTCTTAGGACCTACACATATGTGTGAGGAGTGGCTCAACATCCGCTCTGAAGATTGTGAGGCCCCCCACCCCCGGTCCCGCCACCACCATTTTAGACATGCAGTTTTGGTTTCTGACTCTTTAGCTCCACACCTTATTTTGTTCCCTGACAGCCCTATCCACCAATCCCTTGCAGCCTGCATCCCCGGACCCCGCCTACCAATCTCCACAACCCTGTACTCCCAGTACCTGCCCCATGCTGAAAAACACTCCCTTTCTTTCTTTCTCTGTCTGTCTCTGTCTCCCTCTCTGCTCTCCCAGTCCTCACTTCTCCCCACTCTCTGTTCTGCTCTCTCTCTCTCTTTCTCTCTTGGAGCCCCCCTTGTTACTATAGCAAGAAACCTCTCTCCCTCTCTCTCTCTTCTGTTTTCTCTCCTTTCCCATGGCCATCTTCCTCTGCCCTGCTTTCTCTCACTTCCCCATGGCCACCTCTCCCACTGAAACAAAGATGTCCTGTGTGACTCACTGTATCTGGTGCTTGGGTTTGTGGTGTTATTTCCTAACGACGTGACTGAGAGGAAGCCAACCTGGCCAAGTCCACCACCGCCCCCCACTGCTTCATTGCTGCCATCATTTACCCTGGAAGACAATACAAGGAGAGGAGAGTACACAAAACCATCCAACTGGTGTTAAAGGCAAAGTGGCTCAACAGATCAATATCTGAAATACACATCTTCTGGAAAAAGTCCAAGGAAGCACTTTTTCTTTTTTAACTTTAAAGATTTATTTATTCTTATTGGAAAGCTAGGTTTGCAGAGAAAGAGATCTTCCGTCTGCTAGTTTAGTTCCCAAATGGCCGCAGTGGCCAGAGCTGGGCTAATTGGAAGCCAGAACCCAGGTGTTTCTTCCAGGTCTCCTACTTGGGTGCAGGGTCTTTGGGAGTTGGATCACCTTCCAATGTTAACCAGAGGCTCAGCATGATGGCTTAGTGGCTAAAGTCCTTATGTTGCATGTACCAGGATCCCATATGGGAGCTGGTTCATGTCCTGGCTGCTCTACTTCCCATCCAGCTCCCTGCTTGTGTCCTGGGAAAGCAGTGGAGGATGGCCCAAAGCCTGGAGACCCTGCACCCGCGTGGGAGATCCAGAAGCTCCTGACTCCTGGCTCCTGGCTTTGGATTGGCTCAGCTCCAGCCACGGGTGGCCAAATGAGGAGAGAACCAGCAGATGGAAGATCTTTCTCTCTGTCTCTCCTTCTCTCTGAAAAAACTGACTTTCCAGTAAAAATAAATAAATTAAAAAAAAAAAGAGACCGTTATCCAAAATAACAAAGAATTCTTAAAGGCTTAACAATCAGAAAAGCAATACAATTTTAAAAATGGGCCAAACATTTTAACAGCTGCTAAACAAGTGCCATAGAAACAATACAAGCATATGAAGAGATTCTCCACAACATATTTCACTGGGTAAATGCAAATTGAAATACCACACAACGAAGCAATCACATTCCTTGACACTTCCCTGAAGAAGCCCATGCCAAACCGCATTCCTAATTACTAAAACTTGGAAGCCACCCAGATGATTGCGGCTAGACGAGAGGATAATCAACAGCACGGCCCGACAATGAAAAACGATTTCGTATTACAAGTCAATCAGCCATCAGACCACAAAGAGGCATAAGGAAAAGTTAAACATGTGTTAGTAAGTAGACGGAACCAATTTAAAAAGCCTGGGTACGGGGTGTTTCCAATTCTATGACATCTTGGAAAGGCAAAACTGTGGAGACAAAGTTCAGTGGTTGGCAGGGTTTGACAGGGGAAGGATGAGCAAACAGGAGGTTTGAAAGAGACTGGGAGAGAGAGAGAGAGAGAGAGAGAGAGAGAGAGAGAGAGAATGTTTTCCATCTACTGATCTACTCCCCATATGATTTCAACAGCAGCAAGGTCATACTAAAGTCAAGAGTATGGAACACCATCTCCATCTCCTACAGGAGCAGCAGAAACCCAAGTATTTGGGCCTTCATCCACTGTGTTCTCAGGTGCACCAGCAGGACAGTGGATCAAAAGCAGAGGAGCTGAGACTTGAACTGGCGCTGCAACAGGGAGTTGAGGCTTCATCTGCTGCTCCATAGCCCTTGCCTCACAAGGAGAATTTGTACTGCAGTGAAGCTACTGTACATGGCACTACATTGCTTATTTTTTTTGTCCAAACTCACCAAATGTATAATGACTCTGCTTTTTGTGTTATTATGATGTGTCAATACAGGTTTGTAAGTTCTAACATACGCCTCACTCTGATGGTGACTGTGACCATGGGGGAGGTGTGTGTGTGTGTGTGCGTAGATTGTGTGTGTACAGGGTATATGGAAAAATCTATACCTTCCACCCATATCTTTTGGTAAATATGTAACTAAAACAACAATTAAAAAAAACATGGGTTAGTACTTCTGGCCAGCCACTTCCACGGACCGGATTAGGCTGTCTGCCACTTCTTTCCGTTTCTGAAGCTGTAGACATTCTTCTAAAGATGATGTACAGGATGTCAGCGGCTGAGCTGCGGGAACGAGGGTGAAGCCCTGCGATCTGCTGCCAGTCTGGAAAGCCCCCCTCTAAAGACAGTCCAGGGCAGTAAGCTCATTAGGGCTAACAAGGAGACAGCAAGGGTGACCATGCTCCAGGCCACAGACAATGTCACACAAACAAGCCACTCACACTCATAAAGATGCCACAAAATCATCAAGGTACGTTTATTTGTGGATTAGTTAAGGTTCATGAAACTGAAACGTTACCTCTCATGGTAAAAACACAGTAGTAACATACAGTACACAGGAATGTCATTGGAGTGATAACAAAAGTACAATAGCAAATGGGAAATCTTAAACTTTAAATACAAAGGTGAAGCAGTTCAAGAAGAAATTCTGTTAATAAGAAAAATATATGTCCCATGTCTTTATTACATACTGTACAAAATAAAATATTGCACCTTTTAAGTCATATCATAAATATATACAGAGAGTATCTTACAATGATCTCTTAATTTAATAACCTCCAACAATCGCTGTGATTGGTGACTAGCAACTCATGGGCTGGTGCCTGCTCTTCATGTCCCCTGTCCATTCCTGATCACCACACCCTCCCCATACAGTAGTGCTCACCCCAGTGTCCGTAAGGCTGAAGTCAGAATAAAAGAGACCTGGTGTTTAGGACAAGGCGGAGAGATCCAGCAAGCCTGTCTACTGATATACCCAAAGCCATGACATCCCGTTCGCTTACTATTAACCATGGACCAGGTCCAGCGCACCTAATTCAGGTAACTGTGTTGCCAATGGACTACAGGCAGCAGCAGGTGCGTGGGCAGCTGGGATGCTGAATAAAGTCCCATCAGTGGTTGGGCAGGGGAGTTGGGGGGAAGGGTCCTGTGCCATCTACAACTGTAATTGGCATTACAACAGGGAGGGATCCAATGGCCATATCTGCATTAGGACTTCCAATTCAACGGCGGCTGGAATGCCACTTCAGCAGTTGTATTTACTCTGACCCTAACCCCTGCATCCTGCCATGGTCATGAAATCAACCTTGAACTCTATCTAAACCCAACCCTACGATGACCTGACCTGGCCCTGCCTAAACCCTCAAGCCAACTCTACCGTAACTCCAACATACCAACTGCATTTTTCTCACCTAACCCAATCCTAGCTCTAATCCTAAAATTAAAACTAACCTTAACCCTTGTCCTTAAATCTTAACTCTAGACCCTAACCCTAAGGGAAACTTCTTGCCAAGCCCTAACTCCCTTTTGGGTTCACTGAAGACATGAGCCCAAATTAAAAGTTATTTACCATCAGTGTTTCCTTTTACCTGTCAAATTTTTTACTTTAGATTACTTTCTTACACATTTTCAAAAATAAATTCTTCAGGAATACGATCTGATGCATACATCAGGTATAATAGGGCTTTGCTGTTCTGGCTGTGTGCAAAAGGAGAATGTGTAAAAAAAGTCTTCTTCACGGCCCTTAACACTGAGGTGTGGAAACACTTGGGGTGAACATCAGCAGCCAAGGTGATGTTCCCTCTGCTGACTTCCAGGGTGTCTGGTTTGGTCACGGCCAATGACAACGGTATTCACTGTCTGTTTCCTTCCAAGAGTCCTCCAAGGTCAAGGTCGACAAGGCCAAGCAAGGTCAGGATGCCTTCCACCAGAACCCTTCGCATCGGTTGGCGAGAACAGCCTGCCCCGAGACACTGTGTCTTTTGCACAGATGAAACCGAAGGATCTATGAAAACACCACTAAGCGCTGACGCCTCAGGATCTGCTGATCGGAGCTTCTCAACGGGCGATGCCTTGCGCACCTGCTGAAACCCTGCAACGTGAGAGAAAGGCTTCCCACGTCCTCCTGGATGGTCTGCTCTATGCGAGTCGAGGAATCACAGAAAAGAAGCAGCAGGTGGAGGGTGCGCCTGGGACCTCGGTGGTTTGGATTAGACAGACGTGTTTGCTATGGGATACACCATTTACATTTTTTTTCAGTTAACCAACAATGTCACTTCACGCAAGGCTAACAGTGGTGTCTTCACTCTCTTTGACCATGGAAGCTACAGTTTTTCAGGACATACACATTTTTTTTTTTCTGCACCAGCAACATGGGGAGGGGAAAGTACCTTAAGAGTCCTCTTTTCACAGCAGCATCGTGACCCTCCTAGAGGCTTACCCCTCTTGACAGGCCTGGCAGCACCTCCGTCTGTAGAGCTCTAGCGGACACAAGTTAAGTTGCTTCACAAACATACAGTAGTGAGTTGTGTCCACACAGGCTCCTGCAAAGAAAACAACATGAATCCACAGCCCGTGACTCATTAGAGACCTGACGGAAGAAAACAAACAAATGACATTGGGTTTATATGAAGAGCCATGCATGGAGGTCAAGCAGCAAGGAGAAGGAGCCCAGGACCAGGTTAGGGCTCCTGGCTTTTGGACCACAGTTGCCAGAACATGGGGGTTCACTTCTCAGCTGGGCCATATCATTGATTTCAGCTCTCTGGGGCAGGGGTGGTGGTGCACAGGGCTCCCTCTGGTTCATGCTGCTTAGCTTAGCACTCCAGGGTGCTGTGTTTAGCTTTTGTAGGGTTTTACAGGCCCCTGGGAAAAGTTAGGAAAAGCTCTGACCTTCTCCTTAGGTCTGATCCCAGGACAGTTGCAGCCCCACCCGAGTCCATGCACAGGCCCGTGTCACAGCAGACAGCCAGGCAGAAGGAAAGTGTGTGCAGAAGGTCCCAGCCTGCTCATCCTGCTAATCCAGCTGCACGTTCAGTGGAAGATGCGCCCACCCAAGGGTGCTAACCCTCATGCTGCCATGCACATTCCTTGCAGTGCCAACACAGCAGGCAGCCTAAAGGGTTCCTCTGGGCAAACTCTCCGGGGGGTTGCAGAGACATGGAAGAGTGATACCTACCATCACAGGAAGGCCCCAGGCAGTGTCGCCAGGAAGTCGGCTTCCGCTTCTGCAGGCAAAGCCTCTCGGCCACCGGCTTGCAGCTCCTCGTGTGGATGCAATCCACCCGCCGAGACTGGACGCCCCGGCCGCAGGCCACCGTGCAGGCCCTCCAAGGGCCGGGGCGCCAACACACGTCGCAGTTCCCAGCCGAGCAGTTCTTCCTGAGGGTGGGTCTGAAATGAAACAGAGAAAAAAAAAAAAAAAGCATGACATATGGAGCCCGCCACTCCCTGTTGGGACCAAGAGTTTGACCTAGAGCGCCATGATTCAGCACTGTCCGTGGCTGGCTAAGCAAAGCGGACAGAGCCAATCAGACAAGAGAACAGGCTCCAGTCTCCAACCAAATCCATTAGGAAGATTCTAAAAGTCATCCAAGAGATGAAGGAGGGAGGGGAAGATCTATTTTATCTACCTATCTATCTATCTATCTATCTATCTACCTATCTATCTATCTATCTATCTATCTTCTAAATCTTTGTTCCCAAAGATTGAATTTTATCGGAAAGTCAGATCTGCAGAGAGAAGGAGAGACAGAGAGGAAAGATCTTCCATCCACCGGTTCACGCCCCAAGTAGCCCCAAAGGCTGGAGCTGAGCCGATCGGAAGCCAGGAGCTGGGAGCTTCTTCTGGGTCTCCCATGCAAGTGCCGTATGTTGTTCAGCCTCTGTTACTCCATCTGGAATGATCCTCTCCACCTGGGGAGGCAGGGATGGATCTAGCGGTTGCCTTTCTGCCTCCCATATGGGAGACCTGGATTGAGTTCCTGGCTCCTGGCTTGAGCCTGGCACAGCCTTAGGTGTGAATAAAACAGTGGATGCGTGTGCCCTCTCTACCCTGAACAGACCTTTTTAAAATGTGTTATCCTGTTGGGCTGAGCATGCTATCAGTTTTAAACTTCCTCTTTATAAGTGCTGGAAGCACACCCCGAGTGTGAACATGACCCTGTATGTGAACGCTTGGGTCAGGTGAGTGAGGGGCCCCTACAATTACACTGCAGCCATCACCAACTACCCAGGGCCACTTGGAAAGAGGAATCCCTCTCTGACATGGAATGCCATCTTCGTCTCCTTTGTCGTTGGACAAAGAAGTTTTGCCCCGAAGACAGAATGCCTCTGTCCTTGGTTCCTACGAGGAGACTCCTGGAAGATGTGTCTGTCCCATCTGAGGATCTCTCTCCCCGGACCTGAGCTCGTTTAAGGACTCGAAAGCTGCTGGGCCAAGACGTGTAAACTTGAATCCTGGAGCAGTGATATCCACGTTCTGCCACATGGGTCAAGAGATTTAAAATAAAATATTAATAATTTTAAAAAACCCAGACATCCAATGACTTTCCATGTCTTGGTCTTCTACACTTGTTCATATTAATTTGTCTTTATCAGGGCATACATGTCTGTAAGGTAGGGAGAGTGGTTCCAGTGGGGATATAGTGAAATGAAGAGCCCTGGGGTAGCCTGAAGTATTGGAGGCAATACTTGTGTTAGCCAGTAGGGGGAGACTCCACCAAAGGGTTTACTACTGTCCCACTCAAAGCCCTGCTAAGGTTGGAGGGGAAAGGGCAGCCGGTTAACTGCTTCTGCCTCCCCCGGGGGGAACAGCCCGAGTTGGCAGCAGTGAACACTCCCAGCTGTCCCTCTATCCTGACATCCCCCTTTCTGCTGAAGCAGGTTGAATGCATATTCCCTGAACGTGCAGAGAAGTAACACGTCTAAAACAAGACCTGATCGTCACGTGCGCATGTCCAGTGTCCTTGCCTGCTTCACAGATCCCTCATCTCCTCCGTGCACATTGTCCAAAGGACCCCGATTACCAAAGCCAGGCCCAGTGGGAAAGTCGGGAGGAACTGCGGTACTCCCAACCACACGGGAGGACGCACAGGGGGATGGGCTGGCACAGCGGCTATCAGGGCTGCAGCAGAGCCTGACCACGGAGGACATAAAGAAACAGAAAAAGAAATGCAAAGCTCCTTAGCAAAGAGCATGCTCCGGCCGAGACAAGATGAGTCACACCAAGAACGCCTGAGCCGTGTGGGTACAGCTGCCTTGGGTACGACTGCAGAGCATACTTAGTTTAGCTTTTTTTTTTTTTTTTGTAAGTTATTTGAGAGAGAGAGACAGAGACAGAGGTCAATCCACTGGTTTACTCCCCAAATGTCCCAGAGCCGGAATTTGATCCGGGTCTCCCATGAATGTGGGAAGGCACTAGCTACCGACCCGTTATCTGCTATCTCCCAGGAAACGCATGAGCAGGAAGCTGGAATCGGGGACAGAGGCAGGACTCGAATCCACACACCGGTGACACGGACTGCAGGCATCCCAGCTGGCGTGTAAACTGCTCTGAACACTGGGCACCCCTCTCCCCGCTGCCACCACCACGTGTTGCACTAAGCTCACACGCCTGGGAAAGCAGCAGATGACAGCCCGAATGTCTGGGCTCCTGCTGCCTGTGTGGGAGACTGGAATGGAGCTCCTGGCTCCTGGCTTTGGTCGGGCCCAGCTCCGGCTGTCGCAGCCATCTGTAAAGTGACCAGTGGATGGAAGGGTCCCTTCTGAATTTGTCTCTCTCTTTCTCTGTCACTCTGCCTTTAAGATAAAAAATAAAATATAAAAGAATGCAAAAAAAAGGACACAATTTGCAGGACTGTCCCCCCAACTTTCTGGTTCATTATGGTGAGGCCCAAGAGTCTATTTTTTTTTTTTAATTAAGAGAAAAAGGAGATAGAAAGATCTTCCTTCTGCTGGTTCACTCATCAAGTGGTGTGCTATGGCTAGATCTGAGCCCATCTGAGCTGGGAGCCTGGAGCTTCTCCCAGGTCTCCCATGTGGGTGCAGGGTCCCAAGGCTTTGGGCCGTCCTCTGCTACTTTCCCAGTCCACAAGCAGGGAGCTGGATGGGAAGTGGAACAACCGGAACATGAACTGGTGTCCATATGGGATCCAGGCGCTTGGAAGGTAAGAGCACTGAGCCTTCACACTGGACCCCCGGGAGTCTATTTCACAGACATTTCTCAGGTGGTTCTGGCTCAGAGCTGTAGCTAGGAACCATCCCTTTGGGAAGTTGCGTCCTCAGGCCTTCACTCAGGAGTGAAGCAGCGGATGAAAAATCTTTGCCTCTCCTTCTTTCTGTAAAGCTGCCTTCCCAATGGAAAAACCAAACACAACGATAACAGAAACACTGCCACTTCCTGGAGCCCTGTCCTCCGGCCTGCCTCTTGTGCCCTTGGCACTCATGCCAACAGGATGCCCTAGGGCCTGACCTGCCTTGGGCAAGGCCACAGCACACTAACTCAGCAGAAGAAATTTGTGAGGCAAAAGGACTAAAAACTGCCAAAGAGACCTGAAGTGGGGACGAGCCCAGAGGGCTAAGCTGCTGCCGGTGAGCATGGGTTTGAGTCCACCTGCCCTGCTTCTTAATCAGCTTCCTGCTAATGCGCCTGGAAGAGCACTGGATGATGGCCCAAGCACACACCGGAGAGCTGGATGCAGGTCCTGGTTCCCAGCTTTGGCCTGGCCTGGACCCTGCCCTTGCAGCCATTTCAAGAATGAACCAGTACATGGAATCTCTCTCTCTCACCTTCTGTCACTCTAATACCTGAGGGAAAATAATAATGGGAAAGCAAAGCCCTGGTACAAAAAAATGAAACAGCCAGTCCTGGAGGGGACAGAAATAGGAGATGCAGGATATCTGGCCCTCAATGTCTACACTCCTCAGCTCCAGAATTCTCCATTATGTAAACATTAGGTGGACCCTTTCAGATGCTTTCCCCATCTCATTGTCAAAACCCCCATGTAATCAGGTTCCTGAACCTCGTGATGCGTCCTTCCACGCCTGTCATCTGTACCTCCTGCCGTTGGTCTTGGTGGTCGTGGGTGAGCCAGGGTGAGGCACACCCCAGGAGCGGTAGGAGAGCGTGGCTGCAGCACCAGGCCGGAAGGAGCAAGGTCTTGGATGAGGCGGGGAAGGTAAGCAGGCCTTGGGGTGGGCTCTTCCAGAAGCTGCACTAAGGATTTAATTTTCTTGCTACGAGTAAAGCCCCTGACGTGATTTTTACCGCAGGAGGGGAACACATGGAGGTGGCTGCTTTATCTACTTTGAACTTGCTAAAAGTGGAGACTGGGCTGGGAAGGACATGGGTGGAGGTTGGTTAGATGGCTGTGCCAGTGAACCTGGTCAAAGACAATGGGGGCTTGGTCAAGGTCAACGGTGGTAGAAATGGACAGAAAGTCAACAAGTTCAAGAAAAAAAACAACAACAATGAGAAAAAAAAACCCAACCAAAAACAACAACCAAATATCAAGCAACCACCACAACAAAAAAGAAAACATGAAAAGCAATCCAAAAATACAAATTGTAACGGAATAGAATTTTTATCTATCATGCTGGGAAAATGTTCAAAAGATTGCAAAACTACAAGGCCACTTGCAAAAGCTCATGGAAAATGTAAATAAAAGGTGAGTTTATTTTAGGGCAAAAAGATGGAATCCATGCAGAGCTCTGAACATTGTAAAGCCCTCTTGTACATGATGTTGATGAAAAAGGAGGTAGCTTGCATGGTTAAAGTGTTCGATCCACGGAGGTACTTGGTGACTATGCCTGGCACAATGGCCCAATGATGCTGGGATCCCATATGGACACCAGTTTGTGTCCCAGCTGCTCCACTTCCCATCCAGCTCCCTGCTTGTGGCCTGGGAAAGCAGTGGAGGACGGCCCAAAGCCTTGGGACCCTGCACCTACGTGGGAGACCTGGGAGAAGCTCCAGGCTCCTGGCTTTGGATAAGCTCAGTTCTGGTCATTGCGACCATCTGGGGAGTGAACCAGCAGATGGAAACTTTCTCTGTCTTTCCTTCTTTCTGTAAATGTGATCTGCCTTTTCAATAAAAATAAATAAATCTTAACAACAACAACAAAAAAAACCTTGGTGACTGCAAAGTAAACCACTTGGGCAGGTGCAGATCAACCTGTGTGTGGTCTCTGCCTTCAGCAAGAGAGGACACGGGGTCATCTGTTAAGAACAAGGCTAGCGGCCAGCATGGTAGCCTAGTGGATAAAGTCCTCATCTTGCAAGCACCAGGATCTCATATGGCAACGGTTCGTATCCACTTCCCATCCTGGCTCCTGGCTTCGGAGTGGCTCAGCTCCAGCCGTTGTGGACCCTTGGGGAGTGAATCAGCAAATGGAAGAGCTCTCTTTCTGTCTCTCCTTCTCTCTGTAAATCTGCCTTTCCAATAAACAAGTAAATCTTAAAAAAAAAAAAAAAAAAAAAAAAGAACCAGGCTGGCTGTTTGAAACACTTTCCATCCAAGGGAGGCAGGCAGTGCTCATGTTCCTTAGAATCCAGAGTCCCGTGCCAACCTTTGTGCAAGTTCTCTGAACGGTCACTGAGCCAGTGGCCAAAGTTCTCCGGCAGGACCTGCTGTGGAGTGACCAGGCAGAATTCACCTGACTGAGGAAGAAATAGCCAGACACTGTTTGTTTCCTACGACCTGGGCTGCTTCAGGCATGCATGTTCAGGATTTCCAACCCAGGAGAGAAGACCCCCGTCTGATCTGCAAATTCAGAGAGTTAGGGAGCCCCAGGGTCACACACTAAGAGAGTCCTGGGACTCCAGAGCCCCTGACTGGTGCCCCTCCCGGGCTGTCCTGCTGCGTTCTGCTTCTGGGATGACAGAGCCGCAGCCCGGTCTTTTTATTCTGCAGAAAAGCCAGCTAGCTACTGCCTTGTTTATGCCTCTTCAGAAGGTATACATTCGCTGGTACACCACTGTGCCAATGTCTTAATCAGAACAATTTCCAAACAGAGGTATTGAGTAGTTTCTGGGAGACATTAGCAGGATCGAAGCTGTGAATCTAAGTGAGATATGACGTCGGTGTCACCACCTTTGTGTACCAAGATGATCTGTCCACTTTCAATGCTACATCTCCCCCCACTACAGGGCATTTTCTGTTTCCACCATTACATACAAGGATGCTGTAGAAGGTTTGTGGAAACATGGAGTTAAGAGATAAGTTTGTTTTGGTGCAAGCATTTTGAAACCCTCGCAGTTTCCTCAGAATGACCGTTTGTGGAAGTCTCTTTCTCTGCTTGGGTTTCAGAAAATTTCCAGACTGAAATAACCTTATGTTTTAATTCCATTTTTTAAAAATGCACTGAGGTGTCCTTGTAGTCAGTAACATTTTGCTATAGTCGAGGATGGCATGCTCCTATTAATATTTTGCTATAATACTATTGAGGTGGCACTAAAGAAATCACAGAATAATAGGAATGCTTGATCAATACGGGACAGCGGTAGAAACCAGCATTAATTCCACTTTTGGGCAGTGTTGGCCACCGAATGAGGCAAGAGAGACTGCATAGTGTCCTAGGGTCACAAAGCCGGTACCTCTGAATGTCCTCACAGCTGGAGTCAGAGCCATTGTGGTGCTGACAAGCGGGGGGCGTCTGCACGGCACGGCCCAGGCAACGTCCAGGACACTGCAAGGAGAGCACAATGCAGCATGAATCCCATGAGCCCAGGCAGGTGGTGTGGACCGGGATGGTGTACCAAAGGGACAAAGACCCCTCACAAGAGGATCGTGTGTCCCAGGGGTATCAGCAGGGACAGAGCATGGCTCTGCCCACCAGACACTCCTCCTTCAGAGGCAGGAAAATACCCAGGCATCCTGGCTGCCCACTGCAGTCCCCCCTCTGAAGATCAGACCACCACTGGGGCGAGGTGGTACTGAAATGACTGGGCTGAAGGGTGGAAGTGACTATCCTTAAGACCCCAAGTCGGAGCTGGCGCTGTGACACGGAGGGTTATGCTGTCGCCTACAGCCCATATGGGTGCTGGTTCAAGTCCCAGCTGTTCCACTTCCCATCCAGCTTCCTGATAACAATCCTAGGAGAGCAGCTGAGGATGGCCCAAGTAATTCCCAGCTGAAGCTCCTGGATCCTGGCTTCTGCCTGGCCCAGCTCTGGCTGTTGCAGCCATTTGGGGAGTGAACCAGTAGGTGAAAGATCTCTTTCTTTCTGTCTTACAATTAAATAAATCTTTGAAAAACAAAGTCTAAATAGCTGTCCAGTTCGGATTTCTCAGCTCTGAGCAAAAATGAAGGCTTCTATGCTGCAGGTGGCTCCCTCACGGGGGAAAAAAAAATAAGTATTTTCTGATGTGCAATTCTTAAATTTTTATGTAATATTAATGCTTATGAATTCTTCCTGATGCTTTGTTTTATGTTTGAGAAGATTGTTCCCATCTAGGTAATTCCATTTGTGTTGAATTACTTTCACATTTAGCTCTTCAGCCAAGTCAGAATTTATTTTGCTGATTGTTGGGAGCTTGCATTCAGATTTCACTTCTTTTTTCTTCTCCTGGCTAATTCCGCTCCCACTGCCTTTGTAGCTTTGGACGAACGCTGTGGACATTATTTACATACCATGTCATTCATCACTGACCCTATACAGACTCATGGGTTTTTAGAGTTATATAACTTTTATCACCCTCTATTGGAGAATATCATCACTACTTACCAAAGAAGCCCCCGGATCCTGTGGAATTCACCCCCAGTTCCTCCCATCACCTGTCCTCTGAGCCCCAGAAAACCATGTTCTAATTCTAGTCTCCACAGATTGACCTGGTCTGGGCACTTGCACTCAAGGGTGCAGGATGTGGTCTTGCTAACATCTCCATGTTGCAGCATGTATCTGTAGCCCTTCCTTTTAAAAGCTGAACAGCATTCTGCTTCCCAATCCCACTATTTCCTCTTCCCGGTTATTGTGGATTCTTATTATTCAGGTTGTTCCTACTTTTGGGGGGTTATGAAACATAATTCTGCTAGGAACAGTTCACAGACATATTTTTGTATAGATTCTATTCCTCGGCAATGGAACTGCTGGGTCACGTCAGAGCTCCACACTGAACTGCTGAGGGGTTACCAGGCTGTTTTCCCCAGACCCTGTACCATTTGACATCCCACCAGTGGGACAGAATGGTTCCGATTTCTTTACATCCTCACCTACACCTGCTACTCTTTTTTGAATGATACCATGCTGGTGGATATGAGTTAGTGTCTTGTCCTGGCTTTGGTTTATTTCCCAAAAACCATTCTTTCTCCTATGAGCAACTGCCAGAAAGTCCACTTTAACATGGGTCTGTTTCTGTGTTGTGGATTGCTCCACAATCCCATCCATTCCTACACCAATCATGGACACTGTTTTACCCTCCCTCCTTTCCACCATGGTTTACATAGGACGAAGAAGTGCTTCTACATCTCCAATAATTTCTTTTTCTGAAACTCAGCTATCCTTATTGATTCTCCCATATGAATTTAAGGATTATCTTTATTTCTACAAAAAACGTTTTACTCTGATTTAATTGGAAGTGCAACACGAATTTAGTTAACGGATTTAGTCAACACGTCCATGGTCCAGAGAATTCCCTGAAAGAATATATTTGGCCTTTTATCTAGCTTTTGCTTTATGTGTTTCCATAATGTGTTTTTTTTCCTTGGGGGGCTCCTACCTATTCATATAATTTTCCTGAGCAGTTTTATTATGCTCTTATCACAGGTGGCTTGTGGGACACGGGTTCTGAGACATCCGTGCCAACATTCCCAGTGTGTTCCTTCCCCTACACGCACCCTTACTTAGGGCTGCCCTCCTCCTACCCTGCCCCGGCGTATCTCAGAATTGTTGTTGGTCCACTATACTCAGAGGATGCAAGCTTGGTGGGTTTTGGTCCCAGAAGACAGAGGTGCTATGATTTCCAGGTGCAAATCTGGAGGTCAGATTCATTTTAAAGCTTCATCAGATGTCTTCTTCCAAGTTAGAAATGTATATATACATAACTGACTGGAAGTGGAGGGATGCTTATCACTGGCAGACTTGGTAGCCTTACCTGGCTCCCTGGCTCGACGACCCACTGACCACACGGGTGGCCGGAACATGGCTTCCTTCCCAGAGGTTGGTCTTTAGAGGCGCACGCCCTCAGAGACACCACCTGTGCGGTTCCATTGGCTCTCGTCCGCTTGCACGTCACTTGTCGACTCTGGAATCCCTCGCCACAAGACACAGAGCACTCTGACCACGCACTTGTGAACCACCTAGGAGCAAAAACTACAGGAGCTTAGTAAGGACTGGTAGGCCAGACTTTGCAGATGTGCTTGTAGGAGGCGAAAGCTGGTCCTGTTCCAAGGCTGTATGAGGGCTGTTTCCCACAGGTGCCGATGATAATGGGCAGCAGCACAGGTCACTCCTATCCTGACTCAATTTTCTTCCATTTGGGGCAGCAGCAGAGGCACCCAATGGAGACAACCCATGTGGGAGTGACAAGAGGGAGTTGCTTCAGGTTTACCAAGAGCTGTCAGTTGTACAGCCTAGGGGGCAGACCCAGTGCAACATTGGGTGGGAACTGTGAAACCCAGGGGAAAAAGTCATTAGAACATGTATCTGCCACGTGATCTTGCACACTTCTCATGTCACTGACCCTGCTGTGGGGAAGAAAAGGGATGCCCATGGCGGTGAAGAACTCAGTTGTGATTATGTAATGGACAGAGGTGAGGTTGAAGACTGAGTCACCTGTCCTTAAACTCTGTGATTCAGTAATGATGGCAAACTGAGCATGGAGTCAGTCCTTCTTGCACTGCAGCTGGTTAGGCTGCCCCTGGCGTCCTAGGGGGCAGCGCTTTCTAACCCGAGGCTCGTGGTTATTTAACAGGACCATGTTCTTGAAAGGGAAAATGACTTAGGCGTCATTGAGCTGTATCTGAAATCCGGTGTTTCTTTTACATTATAAAAACATAGGCTGCACACTACAGCAATATTGGCTAATACCTGTGATTTTGTTGTCGCTGGAGATCATAGCTATTTCTGCATCACAGGACAATGGTGGCAGGTATTACTTATATTGAATATTTATTCACTTCCATGCTGTATTAAATAACATATTATTTATTCTATTATGCAACATTCATATGTACGAATTTTTCATTATATTAATATACTAGGCATAGAATATGAAATCTTTCAAAATGAAAATACAATTAGGCATTATTAAGGAAGTAAACATTTTAAGGTATTTCAGTAACTGCCTTTCAATAGAACTGATTTATCTGTAAGGAAGTGTATTTTATTTTAAATAATGCAGAAACCTTGTCCTGAGACGGCAGCCACAGGCTTCCCTAAGGCTCCCAGAGGGGGGCCATGGCACAGAATTGCTAAGCACTGTTGTGGCTGGGGGCTCCTGAGTTACATGTTCCCGTGGTCTCTTTTAGGCCTGGAAGTGCCTGGCTCCGTTTGTTCTAGGATGGGCAAAGGCTTCGAGGACAGTGAACCAACAAAGGTGTGGATGGGTTCCCCAAGGCAGATGCTCTCCTCCTGGTGAAAATCAGGAACTGACAGGAAGCAGGCCTCTCAGGTCATCTTCCCACCTAAGTGTAACTTTCCAAGGGGTGACTGCCAGCAGGAGCTCGTCCAGATAAGAATGACAAGGGGTCCTGGGAGAGGTCTGTCCATCTGGGTGACTGTGGCGCTAACAGCCCTTTTCAGAACATGTCCTTTGGCAGCTCTTGGGTTTCCTGTGTGACCCTGGCCCTCCTGCTATTCTCCTCCCAGGCACAGGCTGTTGGGTCTACTGGGGGTATTTACACAAGGGCATTAAGCTGTCCATTAAGGAACCTTGTATTTTCTCGTCTGTACAATGGGGCTGATCACAGCCTCTGCCTTGGAGATTTATTCGGACTAAATACCTTTTTATTGGCTAAACATTTTAATGTGGGTTTTTTAGTATCACTTGATGGTTTCTCTGCCAGAGCCTCTACTATCCATGCCTTACTTCACTTCACAAATGCTTCCAGAGACACAGGCAGACATGGTGCTAAATGTTTCGAAAATCAATCCCTGAGCAAAAACAAAAATGGCCATGGATTTGCTCTCTTGCAATTTAGTCTATCGGGACAGCAATGCAGAGAATGGTAACAGAGAGGTAGGACAATAGGAAATTTAAAAAAAAAAGTATCAGCAGAGCTCTTCTCTTTGGAGGGCTAGGATCAGGAGTGGGTTTTCCTGAAAAATGTATTTAGGTCACTTTAGATGAATGGGAACATTGTCGGCAGGAAAGAGAACAACATACCTAAGGGACAAAAACAGGACAGACCTGAATGGAAATCAGACAACAAGGTGGGAGGAATAAACAATAGGCAAGGCAGCCCAGGCCAGGGCTCCTTCACGTCATCAGCCAGCAGTCATCAAATGCCTGCTCCATGCTAGGCACCGCTTAGTACACTGGGGACGAAAAGGTGTGTGAGACAGAACCAGCCCCAGCGTGAGCAGGCAGAACAATGGAAATCATCAAAGGATTTTAAGCAGAGGAGCTTAACGGCGAGTTCATTTTGATACTGTCTACTGTTGGGGAGAGGACCAAGTGCTCTAGGCAGGGAGATGGGTGGCAGGAGATAGACCGCATGGCCTGCACTCCAGCAGGAACAGAAGGAACTGACCAGAGTGGACAAAAGTGAGAGGAAGACAGGAATCCATGTGTCCGCTTTCCTGAGCTCTGGAATTCTGGAAATGGGCCCAAGTTGGTGGAGCTCATAAGTTTGAGGTTGGACTTGTTTTCAGTTATTAAGTAGAAAGGTTACTGATGGTTTCACCTCCAGGGCAGGTGACCCTGGCGTACCACATCACCCCACTAGGTAAACCGTTGAAATCCACCTGCCCGCGAGCTTCAGGGGAGGACATACTGTGAGCGCAGGAGGCAGCAGACTTGGCTTACAGTGAGCAGCAAAGGCTCTGAAATCAGATCCTCTCCGTCGAAACTGTGACCCTTGTGATCACGTGACTGTGGCAGACTTCTCATCATGAACTGGTCCAATAGCAGCCTCTGCCTCATAGGCAGGTGGAAAGACTAGCTAAAGCTTAGCAGAATGCTGTGCTGGCTGAGCCTAGTCGGTTGGAGGTATGCGGTCCAGAACCTGCCCCTTTGAAAACAATCAAAAACACGGTCCTCATGGGGCAGGAGGAACAATCTCACGTACCTCGCTGGGCAGTCCCGGATATTACATGGCTGGAACCCGGCCCGTGGCTTACGGAGATGACCACAACGGGCCTCGCTTACTTCCTGCCCACTGGCCAGCACACACCGAAGTCTCTGAATGCGGAAACCCAAGTGGCCACAGGTGGCAGAACAAGGTGACCAGTTACTAGGCTCCCAAAAAGGCTCTGTGGAAAAGGAAATGAAATGTTAACAATCGCCAGAAAGGAGCTGGAGGTGACCCACTCTGGAATGAAGACCATTAAATTCGTTTTCCGGATACTCGCCGGGCTGGCACAGCGCAAAGGGGCCCTTTCAATTTTACCTCCGCCTCAACTAACTTACTGCAGCAACTGGTGGGAATGGCAGCCAAATAGAGTTCTTGCCCCACAACTTGAGAGAGGGGCTAGAGCAAGCCAGTTGGGACACACTCCAAGCTGCAGCCTGCCTCATTGGACAGAGCCAGTGGGAAGAGATGGGCTGCCTTCTCCAGGGTGTGCTGGAGCCAGGCAGGGAAGTGAAGGCAGGCTTAACAGGAGGGACAAAGAGATAAAGCAACATGGTTACAAATACACTTGGACTCCATCTTCCCATTAATTCTTAACCTCAACTTCAGATGAGTCCTCAAACTGCATTTTTTTTTTCCCATAGAAACTTCTGGAAAGCAAAAAATGGGAGTTTCTTTAGAAAACTCAAATCTAGCCACCTCTGGTTATCATCACTTTAAGAAATTTCAGTCCCTATTGTCTGTAGCTCCCTCTTTCCCTGTTGATGCTTGATAAGAGATGAGGGGAGGACACCCTGATGACAGTCTTGCGTATGATCAGAGAAAGTGCTGGATTTTCCTGTAATCATGACACGCAGTGCATCGCTGCCAGCTGTGTCCACAGGCCTGCCCTGACTGTTCTCCAGTTTTTTTCTTTCTGATTTTTCATCTCTGTCTTGAATTGCACACAGGATCACTTGCAAAGCAGAACTGAGAAATACATTTTTAGTTGGGGCCTCAGGATAAGTTTACTTAAAAAAGATTTTTTAAAAATAGCAGAGTTGGGGCCCGGCGTGGTGGCGCAAGTGGTTAAGGTCCTCGCCTTGCACGCTTGGGATCCCATATGGGCGCCGGTTCTAATCCCGGCAGCCTTGCTTCCCTTCCAGCTCCCTGCCTGTGGCCCGGGAAAGCAGTTGAGGACGGCCCAAAGCTTTGGGACCCTGCACCTGCGTGGGAGACCCGGAAGAGGCTCCTGGCTTTGGATCGGCATAGTATCGGCCGTTGTGCTCACTTGGGGAGTGAATCATTGGACGGAAGATCTTCCTCTCTGTCTCTCCTCTCTATATCTGCCTTTCCAATGTAAAAATAATAAAAATAAATCTTTAAAAAAAAATAGCAGAGTTGATAGAGATAAGTGCTGAGTTAGCTATTTTACAATCAATGTTTCTTTTAATTCTTGTGGTCATCTTCTCAAGTAGATATTTTTGTATTTCTTTGCAGAGGTAGAAATGGGACGGCTTTGGTAACTGGCCCCAGGTGAGATGGATTGGCACTTGGAGGTGTCTGCAAATCTTTACTATTTCACATTTTACAGACATCTTGACAGTTCAAGGCAGGGTACACATGTATTTACTTTAAAGATTTATTTTATTTTTATTGGAAAGGCGGATATACAAAGAGGAGGAAAGGCAGAGAGGAAGATCTTCCATCCGATGATTCACTCCCCAAGTGAGCGCAACGGCCAATGCTATGCCGATCTGAAGCCAGGAGCCTCTTCCGGGTCTCCCACTTGGGTGCAGGTTCCCAAAGCTTTGGGCTGTCCTCAACTGCTTTCCCGGGCCACAGGCAGGGAGCTGGAAGGGAAGCAGGGCTGCTGGGATTAGAATTGGCGCCCATATGGGATCCCGAGAGATGCAAAGCGAGGACCTTAACCACTGCGCCACCACGCCGGGCCCACATGTATTTACTTTAAAAGATGTCTTTTTGGATCCAACATTGTGACTTTGTAGGTAAAGATGCTGGCCTCCCACATGGTCACCAGCTCTAGTTCCAGCTCTCTGCAAAGGTCTGGGAAAGCAGCAGAACATGGCCCAAGCGCTAGGGCTCCTACACCCACCTGAGAGACCTGGAAGAAGCTCCTGGCTCGGCCACTGGCCACTGTGGCCATCTGGAAGTGAACTAGTAGATGAAAGATCTTGCTCTCTCCCTCTCTCTGCAACTTGGACTTTCAGATAAACGTAATCTTTAAAAAGATCCTTTTTATTGAGATACAAATCACATACAACAGATAAAATGTTCAGGTCTCAGACTGCAGTACTGTACATAGTCAACTGTAATCCAAAGCAAGGTAGATATTTTCATCATTTCCAAAATTTTCCTCTTTCCAATCAATTCCTTTCCATTCTCACACAATTATTTGCTCGTTCCTTTCAGTGCATATTTTTAAAAAGATTTATTTATTTTTATTGCAAAGTCAGATGTACAAAGAGAAGGAGAGACAGAGAGAAAGATCTTCTGTCCGATGATTCACACCCCAAGTGACTGCAGCAGCTGGTACTGACCCAATCTGAAGCCGGGAGCCCGGAGCTCTTCCGGGTCACCCACGCGGGTGCAGGGTCCCAAGGCTTTGGGCCATCCTCGACTGCTTTCCCAGGCCACAAGCAGGGAGCTGGATGGGAAGCGGTGCTGCCAGGATTAGAACCGGTGACCATATGGGATCCCTGTATGCTCAAGGATAGGACTTTAGCCGCTAGGCCATGGCACCGGGCCCTTTTCCGTGCATATTAATCTATTCTTGAACTTCATGCAACATGTACTCTTGGTGTCTGGTTTCCTTTGTTTAGCATTGTGTTTTTGAGGTTCCCCCAAGTCAGTCTGCATATCAGAAGTTCATTCTCTTTTATGGATGAAAGATGCACAGTTGGATAGAACTATTACAGCTTCACAATGCATTCTCCTGTTGAGGGTTATGGGGAATGAGGCTGAGCATCCTCGCACAGAGCTTTGTGTGAACGTGTTCTCATTTCTCTTGGGCAAAAATCCATGAGCAGAATTGCTGGGTCAAGGTAGGTTATGCATAGCTTTATTAGAAAGTGCCAATTTTTGAAAGTGTGTTTTTTTTTTTTAAGCATTGCACACTCTGAGCAATGCCGAAGAGTTTCAGCTACTGTCAAGTCTCTTCACGTTTTAAGCAACTCAACTGGATAATGATTTGTATCTTGTTGTGGTTTCAACTTCCATTTCCTTGATGCCTTCAAAGTACCTTCGCTAGTGGACAGTGTGGCTCTAGAGTCCTCAGCCTGCCGTGTGTGTGTGTGTGTGTGTGTGTGTGTGTGTGTGTGTGTGTGTGTGATGCAACAGTGTAGGAAGCTGCAATAAACCAAGTGTTTGACTCTTCCAAAGGCTTTGCTTTCACCAGCAGCGCTGGCCTCCTGAGTATGCAAGCATTCCCATGAATTGATTGAGGGGCGTTCTACTGATATTCTTGGCCCATGTCATATGCAACTTCTCCATGCCTTTGTACATCCTGGTATATTTGACTAGAAGTGTCCTTATTTCATCACATAATTTATGTGATAACTTATCTGATTTTCTCAGAAAGAGATAGCTCCGTCATTGTGCTTCAGTCTCCCCACTCTGCTTCAAAATAGTTGTGTCTCTATTTGCCTCCTCCTACAGACTGCGAGCTTCTCCAGGAACTTAGTCATCTCCATATTTGCAGCCTCGGGAAGAGTAAGTAGTGGGCCTGCTTTTAGTGGCTAATGAATGAATGGATACCTATACGTGCAACATTGGTAGTTGTACATCTAAGAAGAGGAAAACGTGTCATAGAAACACCCTTAGATGATGCTGTCACAAGTGGCGTGGGATGAATTGTTGATGAGTATTTCAGCACTATTCTGTAAGTGTCATTTCTCCTTTGTGTGCTCCCCTAACTGGAATGCCAACTCCGTAAACACTGCTTGCTCAACACCAGGGTAGGGCAGGCCCTGGATGTCACTCAATGACTATGTTAAATTAATAAATAAGCTTCTACAGGAAGAGATTTTTCTTAAATAAAACAGTATCGTTACGGAAGGGATTGGCTGAACCAGCAACGACTGAGGAGTAAGAAAACAAAACAAAACAAAACAAAACTGGTCAAATGCCTAGCAGAATTGCACAGATTGCAAAAGGAAGACCCTGGAAAGCTTTACACTGAATCCTTTCTTCACACCAGCCTCACACACAGAAAATAACATGAAAGCAAAAATATTTCAGACCTCGAGATGGATGTTCTCCTGTTGGGTCAGTACTGTTGGCTCCAGGCTGGCGTTCCTGCAGAATATGCTTTTTATGTCCCTTAGGAAATACTGTATTACTGCCTGGCCATCTTCGTTCTAGAGGGAGAAAAAATGAAAAACCTTTTTACCAATTAGAAATTATCCTGGTCTTTCTTTTTTGAAAGAGGTATTTAGTTGAAAGGCAGAGTGATGGAAGTGGGGAGGAAGAGAGAGAAACAGGCAGAGACAGACATGCAGAGATTTGCCATCTCAAATGTTTGTAGTAGCCAGAGCTGGGTCAGGGTGAAGCCAGGAACCCTCTCCTGCTCTTCCATATGGGCCATTCTCCATTGCCTTCCCAGATATGTGAACAAGGAGCTGGACTGGAAGAGAAACGGCCAGGTGGGATGTTGGAGTCATCCTACTTAAACCACTGAGCCATGACACTGGCAACCAAATGATCTAATTCTTGTCCCAGATTGGGTGTTATCACAGATAGTTAGTAGGATATAGGCTTTTCTAACAGGATAATGTGCTTCTGGTTGCTCAGGTTCATACAGGGCTGGAAGGTAAGTGCAGATGTAGGAGATGTTATAAGAGTTTTCACTGTGAAAGCAGGTGGTACCCCTGCATGTTTCCAGGGTGCATGGCCTGATTGATTCACCAACATCCCCAAAGGGTCTGGAGGAAGCAAGCTGGTTGGAGGGAGCCTGCACCCTCCTTCAGAGCAGAATGGGCATGTGCCACAGGGGCTCATCTGCTGAGTCAGCACACTCCCAGAATGCCATGAAACTTGGGCCTGAAACAGAATGGTGGAGGAGGAAAGCTGTGGCTGTCTCAGCCAAGTGCCAAAGCTCCAGGCTGCTTGGCTTTGGGGCACTTCTACATGAAGTGTGTTCAAGGTAGAATGGAGATTCAGACATGAAATGGGCAGGGTTCCTACATGGAATCTGGTTGGGAGTCCTCAGAGAGCACAGAGATGTTATGGAAGATTCAGTTAGGATAATCTATTGAAATTCTTTCACTGCATTTTTATTTGTTTGTTTGTTTTAAAGATGTATTTGCTGGAGCCAGCATTGCACTGTAGCGGTTGAAGCCGCAGTCTGCAATGTAGGCATCCCATACAGATGCTGATTCGTATCCTGGTTGTTCTGCTTCCAGTCCAGTTCTCTGATAATATATCTGGTTAAGTACTAGAAGACAGCCCGAGTACCTGAGCTCCTGCCACTCACATAGGACATTGGATAAAGCACCTAACTTGGACCTGGCCCAGTCCTAGTCATTATGGCCATTTGGGGAGTGAACCAGTGGACAGGAAATTTCTCTTTCTCTCTCTTGATTTGATGTTCAGGGCACATAATGGACACATCTTGATGGTGGACTAGTTAGGAGGGCAGATGTCAAGGGTGACATAGTGAACACTGAGTGAGAACACAGCTGTGCCATGTGACCAAGCTTCCATGCTCCATCCCATCAAGTCCAGTGATGCAGGTATGTCATCAAGTCCAGTGATGCAGGTATGTCATTGCCTCACCTTACAGGTGAGGAAACTGAGCCTGACCCCCAGTCACACAGCCAGTGAGCAGTGGAACCATGCTGACTGCACAGCCCCAGGCCTGAACCCTTCATACACACTCATTGCCAGAGTGTCAGTGAGACAGGGAGAGACAGAGACCTCTTATCCACTATAGCTGCAATGGCTGGAGCTGGGTTAGGCCAAAAGCCAGGAGCATGAAACTCCATCTGAGCTCCCCCACAGCTGACAGGGCCCCAAATTCTTGATCCATCAACTGCTGCTTATCAAAAAACTGGATCAAAAATAAATCAGCCAGGACTCTAACTGGCACTCCAGGATGGGATGTGGGCACCAGAAGCGGCAACTTAACCTGCTAAACACAGTGCTCGGCCACCCCAGTTCCAGTATCTGAGACAATCAAGGAGGCTCTTGGGGAAGAGCCACACGGAAGCTGTCTGATGAGTCCTGAGAGCCCATACGAAGAACACTGAAGGGTGACTGCACATGTGGGCTCCAGTTTTATCTATCAGCCTCAGGTCTCTTTATAAATGCATGAGGCTAAGAATTACTGCTTACGGCACTGTACTACATCAAACATCAAAGGAACTAATGCACACCAAAGCACTTTAAGCATGAAACCTATTCTAACTACCCCCTTCTCTTTATGTCTCTGGGCTCCTCTAACTGCCATCCCAGAAAACCATGGAGCATGCTCTTTCAAGTCCAGCAATGGTTTCTAGTGATGCCATGATTCATTCATTCATGAAGTACTGACTTTGACACCTGGCCTTCTGTTTGGTGCTGGGATTTTGAAGGGAAAGTAAGAAAGGACTTCTGATATCTACCTGAGAAACTTCTGGTGTGGGACTCACAGCTGGTTCCAAACTCTGGGGTAAAAGAGGAGGGTTATTTATTGAGTTTGAAAACTCTAGAAACTTCAAGTTCAGCCTTGTGAATTTAATCTTTCTGGGAGAGTAGAATACCTAGACACTTCAAAGAGGGGTGTGTGTGTGTGTGTGTGTGTGTGTGTGTGTGTGGAGATATATATCATCATAGAGAAAACTACAAGAGAGAAAGTTTAGGGCCAGCTTAAGAACAAGGGTCAGTCATTAAGCGGTCGTGGAGGCAGGACATGAAAGAACTCAACTATAGACAGAAATGTTTCCACCCCAGAGCATGCTCTTGAGTAGAGGAGTCGCATTGCCTTCTAAAAGAAGAAGACAGGGTGTTAGTGTTACAGTCTTGCGGGCACTGGCAGCAGGGGCTGACACCACACAGCATCCATCTGGTACACCTACTGAGTCCAGGGTCAGCAGCATGCACTCCAGGGGGAACCCAGGAATGAGAGGAGCCCAACACTCACCCAGCACCTGGAGCACAGACGTCGCCATTGCCTGTCCAAGAGCATTGGTGGCTGTGCAGACGTAGGTTCCTTCATTTTCAAGGGAAACGTTCTGCAACAACAGGGATCCATTGAAAAGCAAGGAAACATTGTCACTCAGAGATCCTCCTCTCTTCAACCAAGTTATAATAGGCTGGGGGGCACCTTGGGAACAAAAACAAATATGACATAGGCAACTCCTTTAAGAACAGGGCCATAGCACCAGGCGACAATCCCACTGAGTATTTTGACCACAATCAGCAAATGTGTTTGATCACATATTTATGGGGAAAATGGCTGTGTCTATTCTGACAGCTCCTCCATGGCAGGGGTGGGGAGGGTGCTGAAGGGCTTACAACTACCGAGTCCATAACTGGTTCGTGTTTGTATGTTGCAGAGTAGGAGCCAAAGGAAATGCTCTGTGTTGGGAAGGAAGAGAAGTTGGAAGGCAGATAGGATAGTAGTTGAAAAAAGGAGTGAACGAAGCTTGAAGTGGGTGCAGGGACAGATGGAGAGAGATTTCCCCTGTGAACTGGGGAAAGAAATTGATACAGATCTTGAAGCTATTTGTTAGGCACAGGCAAGGACAATTCCACATTCAGGAGGAACCAAAACTAATTAGGGGATACAGATTTTGTTCTCCAATGATTCTGCAGATGACAATAGTTTTGAGGCACAAAGAGAAAACTGGAATTTCAAGTCTGGGTTCATGGTCCATCAGATGCAGAGATATAGAGTGCTGGCTAAATGTCATTTTGGTTACATCATCTCGGAGTTTTGACTCTGTGCCTCCTTGGCCCAGGTCAACACACCTTCCAGTGCTTTGACACCTAACTTCTCTCTTACATAATTACCATCCTTTCCAGTGGAAGCATTGGGAAGAGGAAAGTACAAATTCCTGTACCCAACTTTCTAAAGATCTCAGATATTCCTATTGCCCAGTGGTGGCAAGAATGACTTAGGGATCTTCACATCAAGTAGCTCTTGGGATCTGTATCAGTCCTCAGATATGTAGGAGAGATCCATTCATTCTCCATCCACTGATCTATCCATTTATATATTTAATCAACTCACTTTGAAAATATCTGCTTTCTGGGGGCAGGTTCAGTGGCCTATGATACTAATTATCCAGATGCAACACCAGTTGAAGTCCTGGGTGCTCCACTTCTGATCCAGCTCCCTGCATATGGTCTGGGAAGGCAGTGGAGGATGGCTCAAAGCCTTGGATCCTGCACCTACGTGGGAGACCTGTAAGAAACTCTGGGCTTCTTGCTTCAGATCAGCTCAGCTCCAGCCATTGCAGCTATTTGGGGAGTGAACCAGTGGATGGAGGATCTTTCTCTTTGTCTCACCTTCTCTCGCTGTAAAAATCCACCTTTCAGATAAAACTAAATAAATCTTAAAAAACACAAATATCTACCTTCTATGACCAAAATTCACTTTTTTTTTAAAAAGCTTTCATTTTATTTTAAGGAGAGATAGATGTCTCCCCAATCGATCAGGGTAGATTAGAACATGAGTATTTGCTGAAAGGTCAAAGGAATGGACCAGAGAATGGGTTTCCTAGAAGAACAATGTATCCTATTCCAAAGACACAACAATACGACTTGGATTTTCATTTTGATTTGTTCAGGCCGAATAATGATAATAATAACGAAAAACTGGTTATGTGATAAAATCCTCCTAAATTAAGACATTATAATTTTGGAAACTAGTAATATAGGAAAACCCATTTTTTGAGAAGAAAAGTACAAATCACTTCCTCCAAGTGTTGTTCATCACTTCATTGGTCTCCACAACACATACACTTATGAATGATTAAAAATAATTTCTACAAATTATAAAAGTTGAAAATTATTTCCTAGCAAAAGGATAGTCTCTTAAAAGAATGACTAAGAAGTTGTTGTTTTAGGGACTGAACATGCTTAAAACACATTCTTTTTATTTTTAATCACTTAGACATGATGTAAGCACTTTTCTGGGGTACAGTGCAATATTTCAATACCATAAACTGATTAAATCAGGCAATCAACATTTTCATTTCTTTTTTCCCATTATTATTATTATTTTATGCTACAGTTCCATAGGCTCTGGGGTTTCTCTTACTCCCTCTAGAAATCCCTTCCGCTGCCCACCCCATTGATTTCCCCTATATTATTACTATAACGTAGCTCTTCATGAACAGTCAAGTCCATCATTGTGGACATGGACAATAGCAGAGAGTCCAGCATCCTATTGTCAAGATGTAGTTAACAGTTTCATTGGGAGTCCATCTTTGATCTGGAAGTAGAGATGCATACTGCATTGTATCTTCACATCTGGATATGACAGTCTCCATTACACAGTTACTATACATCCCCTTAAATGAAAAGCCACAAAACAAAATTGACAATGGGAAGAAAAACAGAAACTTACAACGCCATGAGGTTAAATAACATGCTACTGAATGAGCAACATGACACTGAAAAAATAGAAGAAAATTAAGAACCTTCTTGAGAAAAAATGATGCTTCGCATTTGCCTTTAGTTTTGATGAGTGCTATTCCTCTTCTCTGTCAAGAAAACATTTTAAAGTATCATTTACTGGGCAGGTTTGGCAGAGGTGTATTCTGTGAGCTTTCCTTTACTGAAGAAGAATTTTATTTCATTTTCATAGATAGAGGAAAGCTTTGCTGTGTATGTTATTTTGAGCCAACAATTTTTTCTTTTCAGAATTTGAAATGTGTAGCTCTGTTCTCTTCTGGTATATACTTTCCTGTGAAAGGTCAGCTGTGAGTCTGATTGCCTCTATATGTCAGTTGATTTTTTTCACAAGCACATTTTAGGATCTTTTCCTCATGTCCAACTAAAGAGAGCTTAATTATACGGTGTCATGGCGAAGATCGCTCTTGGTCAATCATGTTGGGAGTTCTGAGCCCCTCCTGTAGTTTGTTTCCCAATTCTTTCTCAAGATTAGGGAAATTTTCTTTTATTATTTCATTAAATGCATTTTTAAACCCAGCTTCTCTTTCTGCACCTTCTGGAACTCCCATAACTCTTACATTTGGCCTTTTTAATAGTGTCCCTTAATTATTGAATACTCTTTTAAGCTTGATCCAGCAATGCTTCCAGCTTTTTGATTGTTTCACCATTGTGGCAAGAAATATTTCCCAATTCTGAGATTCTTTCTTCTGTCTCATTTATTTAATTATGGTGACTTTGCACTGAAGTTTTAATTTGCCCTTCATTTCCAATAATTTCGGCCTGATTTTGTTTCAGTATTGCTATTTCCTATGTGACACAGTCCTTAAGTTCCTGCATGTGCTTTTCGTTGTTGATAAGAAGTTTTATAAGAAGTGTTTGACTTTTGTGTTCCCCATTTTCTCGATGTACTTCTCAGTTAACTCTGAGGTTGGCAAAGCCTTTCACTCCTTTTCAGTAATATTTACTGTGCCTCTGTCTCCTCTTTTGCTCTTGGTCATTGTATTTCTGGTTAGCTAATTCTTCTCCTAAGGGCTGGTTTCTAAGCTGTGTCACCCACAAGTCTACAGTTCAATTTTACTGGTTGAATTTGGTATCCAGTTCTTTGTTTGCAGTCACTTGTGCCACTCCCTCCAGTGAATTTCAGGTCTGGGCTCCTGTGTTAGACTTCCACCATGGTCTCCGTAGCCCCAGCTCCTGACTCACCAGTCTCTGCCTCCTGTGATACTGTGCTGAGGCTGCACCGTTGTCTGTACAACCTTTCTCTCACTTCTGGTTTGAGCAGTTCCCAGGATTAGGGAGACACCAGTGCTACCCAGACCTATTTTGGCCTGAAGGGTGCTGAAGACGGTATTATTTTCCCTGTAGGACCAGTGCAATGCACTGAGCTGGAAGTGAGTTTGCTCCCAGCTCAGCACATGCACAGCTCACTGTTGTCCCTCCAGTCTCACAGCCTTTGTCACACTGTACAAAATGGCACCTGATGTGCCACTGGTGGAGTTCTGGATCTGCTGACCATTAGATTTGGGGGCTACCCAGAGCTGTTTTGAGTGGAACCTGTAGGATGCCATGTTGCTGCAATGCATAAAACCAGAAATGAGTTCACTCCCAGCTTAGAAGATGTGCAGGCCTGTCCCACAGCCTTTACCTCCCTACACAAAATGGTGCCTGATGCGGCTCTGGTGGGGGGTCTGGGTTGTGAAATCCACCCTGTTCCCACACTGCCTGTTTGGGATCTGCTGCTCTGTCTCTGTTCCTGGTTGAATCAAACAGACCATCAGAACAGGCACTTCTTTGTCTGGGTTCACCTCCTGAGCTCCTGCTGAACTCCCCTTCCTACCTGGCTGCTGGTGAAGCTCTGGCCGCTGGTGGAGCTCAGATCGCTGCTTGCTGACTGCCGCTGTGGTATCTGGTTACTGTAACACCACAGCATTGTCTCCACTGCTTTCCTATGTCCGTAAGTCTCTAGGTGTCCCTCTGCCATCAGTCTGTCCTCTCCTATTTCTTGGAATGTGCCCTCTCTGCTTCACACTGGCTAATGATTCTCTGTTTAAACGTGTCCTTACCCTATTCTGCCATCTTGATCCCCCAACATTTTCATTTGTTTGCTCTTACTGTCTAGGTGGGGCCTAGTCGCTCCTCTCTTCCAGGTCTCTGTGTGATGTGTATTACAGTACGGTGAGTTCTAGCTCCCACGTTGTGCTGTTGAACACTGGGATGTCTTCCTTCTGCAGGACTGTGCTTTGGCACTCCTTACCCTCCATCCCCCTCTTCCTTTCCTTCCCAGCCTCTAGCAATCACTACATTAAGTTAAGCCTGACTTTCTATGTCTTACTTAGGAGAGGGAATATTTGATATTTGTTTTTCTCTATGATGACGACTTCCTGTTCCATCCATTTGCTACTAACATCAGGAGTTAAACCATTTTTATGACTGAATAATTTGCTGCTATGTAAAGTTGTTTTAAAAAGATTTATTTATTTTTATTGAAAAGGCAGATTTTTACAGGGAGAAGGAGAGACCGAGAGGAAAATCTTTCGTCTGATGGTTCACACCCCAAGCAGCTGCAACGGTTGGAGCTGAGCCAATCCAAAGCCAGGAGCCTCTTCTGTGTCTCCCACATGGGCGCAGGGTCCCCAAGCTTTGGGCCGTCCTTGACTGCTTTCCCAGGCCACAAGCAGGGAGCTAGATGGGAAATGGAGTCGC